GCCCCTCATCTGAGTCCTTGCTCTCCTCAGCCATCCTCACCTGCTGCCAGCTAACCACCAACAGTTAGTGATGTCCTTGAGGCAGGCAGCATATAAATTTAATAAATGAAGAAATAAATGTTCTCTGGGCTTGATGGTTTGCTTGCAAATGTTTTATTGTCATTGGTGTCACGAGATGTCTGCAAGAAAACCATCAAGCTCAGGAAACACCAAGGAACCTGCAGTCATTGTTCTCCTCCTCCTCCTCCTCCTCCTCCTCCTCCTCCTCCTCCTCCTCCTCCTCTCCACATATCCCACTTCTTTCTAGCACTGATGGTGTTGAAATTGAAATTGAATTCTTTATTGTCATTGTATGTATGTACACAGTATACACACAATGAAATTCACATAACACCCAGAGACCAGACCCAACACACGCACACACACAACAATCCCAAACATCGTCCAGTGGTGGGATTCAATTTTTTTTACTACCGTTTCTGTGGGCCTGGCTTGGTAGGCGTGGCTTGGTGGGCATGGCAGGGGAAGGTTACACGCACACACACACACTAACCTGCTTTCCAGCTCCATTCTCCTGTGAAGAGCAACAAAAAAAGACACAGCCAATCAGCTGGGACTCGGGAGGCAGAGAATAGATGGGGCAGAGTCAGTCAGAGGTGGCATTTGCCTGTCCTATTGTCCCCATTGATTCGTACCTATTTCCTGTATTCATACTCATGTTTATTCTTAAACCTATTATCTTGTAAGCGATTGACAAATCAAAATAAAGAAATACATAAAATAAAAATATTCTGAATTTGCAAAAGATGCCAATCGTCTCTTGAAAGGAGCACAATTCACACAAGAGCTAACCAATCTTAGCATTAATCCTGGTTCTTCAGTCATACGAAACCACAGTAGGGTTGATTGGGTTCGGGTTGAGTAAACCCCAACTTGGGGTACCTACCTGAAATACCATTTGCAATCTGTTGACTGACCTGATTATTGCCATATGGGCTCAGGTTTAACCTCCAATATTCCTTGCCAATGTTGTGTTCGCTGATTCTATTTGCACCGAAAACACCCGAAGCATCAACATTTCTTGGCTTTCAAATCATCGGAGCAAAGCAGTTTGTAGTAAAGCAAACAAATTTAGATAATGGACTAGATTGCTAGCGATGTGCATTTATGCACGTTGATGTGGGTTGAACTAAAGCACCTGTGCTTGGCATTTACAATGAGCACTTATGAGCGCCACCATTTGTGGAACTCTGAAGGTTAGGAATTGCTGCCTTTAATGGTGATTTATGGGGTTTGGGGCTCCAGAGACCCTTGAATCAACCTAATTGCTTTGATATCTCTGGAGGCAAAGCCTGAGCGAAGCATCACGACTCTTCAAGGTGTTGGAAATCTCGCCATTATGTCATGACTCAATAAGAGACAAAGCCATCCCCCGCCCCAAATGAGATCAGAAGGAAAGGATAGGGGTAAAAAGCCCACCCAGAAAGGTAATAGAGGGTTTAAATATCTGGTCTGAAGATGTTTCCGGTGACGCATCAAAGCTAGTTGGTAACTTTCCTCTGCACACCTGCCACAAAGGGGGAACACTTTCTTACCTGGGCCTTGTCCCCTGTGGCAGCTGACCCAGTTATTCTACTGTAGACTGGTCAATCCAGTGGGGTGCTGATGAGATTGCTTTCTTGCAGATGTTTCGCGGCCCAGCTAGGTAACATCATCAGTGCTAGAAGAGAGAGGGGTTTGTGGGACGAAAGAGAAGGAGAAGGGTGAGAAGGAGGAAGGGGAAGGGAGGAGAAGGAGGTCTGTGGGGTCCTTGGTGCCCTCTGAGCTCAGGGTTGTTTTCTTGCAGATCTTTCATGACCCAACTAGGGAACATGATCAGTGGTAGAAGGGAGGGGGCTTTGCCAGGAGGAGGAGGAGGAAGACTGTGGAATCCTTAGTGCTCTTTGAACTTGTTGGTTTTCTTGCAGATGTTCCATGACCCAATTGGGTAACATCATCAGTGCTAGATGGGAGTCGGTTTTGCTCTTGGTTTAGATACAAGTGGCTTGTCCTGCTAATGTTGGGAGTGTTTGTGGTGGTTTACTTATTTGTTTATTCATCCTATATGCCATCTGTCTCTCTTGGAGGAGCCTTTAGGGTTAAAAATAAATTAAAAGGCCATTAAAACATTACAGTAATACACGGTAACACTGATGGTTAAGGTGTTGTGTACTGTTTGTTTGTCCAAGTTAATAGTTCCTTGATTGGGGTCTTGTTTACTGCTTGATTGACTGAGAATCTCTACAGACTTTTTCAATGATTGTTCATTCAGTATTAACCTTGGCGTTAATCTCTGCTTGTTATAGAGCGTTAATTACTGGTGAGATGTTTTTGTCTTTTTGTTTCCTTTTTGGCTTTTTAATTGTCTCCTTTGAATGGTATGTAGATGTTGCTTACCTCTATGTGTCTGTTGATAGATGTTTTGTCTGTGGGCCAGACTTCCAGGAATTCTCTAACGTTTTTTGGACTTAGCTTTGTCTAAGATGCTGACACTTTCCCAATAAAATGCCAAAGCCTATCCACATGTTGTACAATTAAAGAGTTTTCACCATGTTTTCTAATTGCTGTTACAAACTGACTAAAGTACTAGTAGTCAGTATCTACCATTAGTCAGAAGACATTAATTTAACGTCCTTAAGTCAGTACTGTCTATCTGGTATTGCTTCTTATGTCAACGTGCTTAAGCCATATGTAGATTGCTTTGCTCTTTGCTTAATGTGTTGGGTGAACTCATTACAATCTATAAGCTTTGGTTTATGGCTTAGCATCTTTGAACTTACTCTACCATAGCTTATTTAATAAGCCACAGTTAAATACCCGTGACTTCATACAAATGGCAGAGCAATTCAATGAATCCAGCCCTCTGCATTACCGTGGTGACACATATTCATCTAAATGGGGAATGACTCAGTTGTGGTTCAGTGTTCTACAAAAACAGTTATTTTGAACAAACTTTGAGAAAGGAAATAGCCCCAGAATGGGAAGGCCGAATGAGACAACCAAAACTGCACACGACAGAGTAAATAATGTAAACAAAAAAGGAACGAAATGCATTAAAAAAAATAGCTGTTTCTCAAAATTACAAAATTGCTGATATTTGTCATGCCCTTTTACAGGCTTGGTTGTAAAATGTCAGTGTTGTGGAATAACACACAGGATCCCCAGAGGAGGGAAAATCGGTTAGGAATACACAATGACATTTAGCTGTGTGGTTCGTGATGGAAGGGATCTACATTCAACTATTTTTCTTCCTTTGCACCGTTATTCCTTTTACACTGGAGCTCTACAACTACTGTATGTTGATTGTACATATTGTCAACTGCAACATAAACCACCATAGCTGGGTTGAAAGCCAGAACCAAGCAAACTTCAAACCAATTAGGGTTCAGAATCTGTGTGAACCCAACTTCTAGTTCAGAAAAGAGCATAAGGCTGTTTTTATAGCTTTGCCGTCCCAAAGGTGCTGTTTCCAAAGGCAGCTGGGCTTTTCCTTAAAGACATTTCGCTTTTCACCCACGAAGCCTCTGGCTGAATGTCAGAGTGGAAGAACCTTCTTGGATGAGAAGCAAAACGTCTTCAAGGAAAAACAAAGACAGCCCAGTTGCCTCTTGAAAAAGCACCTTGGGACAATCATTGACCTGGATGACAGAAAGTCTCCATAGACATATTGCTTTGCTGCGATTGCACACCTGGAAAAATTATTGAAGTCCAACACATTTGATGTGAACAATGGAACAGAAGCTGCCCTCGGAAGTTGTGGGAGCGCCATCACTTGAGACTTTCAAGAAGAGATTGGACTGCCATTTGTCAGAAATGGTGCTTGGGCAGGGGGTTGGACTAGATGACCTACAAGGTCCCTTCCAACTCTGATTATCTGTTATCTGTTACATTTGGGGAAATCCTGTGTACTATAAAAGATGTATATATCCCATATTTTATCCAGGAGTGGAAGGTAACATCTATAGCTTTCTGTCTTCCCTATTTATATTAATCCTTCTATCCATCCATCTATAGTCATTCTACCTCTGTCTTCTTATCTTTCTGTCTGTATCCATCATCCTATTTATACATCTATCTATATCCTGTCTGTCTATCATCTATCCATTCATCTACTGTATTTGTTTATCTATCATATCTACTGTATGTATCTATCTACTGTATCTATCTACCGTATCTATCTAATCTTGTCTGTCTGTCTGTCTGTCCGTCCATCCATCCATCCACTGTAACTGTTTATCTGCCATATCCACTGTATGTATCTCTTTACCGCATCTATCTACTGTATCTATCTAATCCTATCTCTATCTATCTATCTATCTATCTATCTATCTATCTATCTATCTATCTATCTATCTATCTATCTATCTATCTATCTATCATCTATCCATCCATCCCATCCCATCCTATCCTATCCTATCCTATCCTATCCTATCCTATCCTATCCTATCCAATTCAATCCATATCCTTGTCTGTCTGTCTACGTATTCATCCACCCGTCCGTCCATCCACAATAGTCTTGTAAAGGTTGGGCTGAGAGAGTGACCGGTTCAAATTCAGGCAGGGAGCTTCTGTGGCCATGAGGGAACCCCATTTTGGGTCTCCCCAGTGTGCCTCCAACATTTATCCATGGCACAGCTCTTTGCGGCTGAGCTTGGTGGTTTGCTTGCAGACATTTCATGACCCAAACTATGGTAGGCGACCTCATCAGTGCCAGGCAGAATGGGGCTTGCTGCCCCACCAGCAACTGATGATGTTACCTAGCTGGGTCCCGAAACGTCCGCCCAACCGCCCACCAAGCTCAGAGAGCATGCGCAGAGTCTCCATTCCTTCGGATGCCCACTCGGGCCGTCTTCAAACAGCCTTCCGTCGCCATGGCGACCACAGCGGCTCAGCCAAACGCTTCGGATTGGCTGGCTCAGGAGACCTCGACCTCGCCGCGTCGCGTCATGTGACCGACTGTCATGGCGGCGCCGCTGCGGCTGGGTCGCGGCGTGGGTCCGCTTTGGCGGGCGCTGCAGCCACCGCTCCGCCGGCCACCGCCTCGGAGAGCCGGCTCCAGCGGCGCCAGGAGCCGCCTGTACGAATACGCCCGGGAAGGCTGGGCGTCGTGGCCGCGGCTGGACGTGGCGGGGCTGAGCGAGCGAGACCTGGAGGTGCGCAAAGGGCCTCTCAAGGCGCCGGACCTGCATGAGATCGTAAGCGGAGTGTGTGTGTATGTGTATGTGTGGGGTCGCCTGGATTGGCTTGGCTGAAAGGGCCGCTGAGGCGGGCTCTGGAATCTCGGCTTCGGGCCGGGGGCTTAAAAGGCGTCCTGTGTCCTCCCCTCTCTCGCCCGCCTTTATCTGTAGAAATCAGTATTTTTCAACCTCTGCAGCTTTTAAGATATGTGGACTTCAACTCCCAGAATCCCCCAGCAGGCGTGCCTTAAAACAGGGCTCTCCAACCTTAGCAACTTTTAAGACTTGTGGACTTCAACTCCAAAGCTGGCTGGAGAATTCTGGGAGTTGAAGTCCACAAGTCTTAAAGTGGCCAAGGTTGGGGACCCCGCCTTAAAATGTGCGGATTTCAAATCCCAGAATTTCCCACCCAGCAGGCGTGCATTAAAATGTGTGGATTTCAGTTCCCAGAATTCCCCCGCCAGCATGTTTTAAGATGGGTGGACTTCAACTCCCAGAATTCCCCAGCCAGCATGGGGTCCACACATCGGAAAGCGGCTTAGCTTGAAAGACATTGGTATAGAATAGATGACCTTTGGATTTGTCTGTTATTTTGAACCCTGTAGCAATCAAAGAGCTTGGGATCTCTAAGTTCATCAAACAAAGAGATGTGATTAATTGCATGCCATTAAGCCAATGTTGGTTCTAAGAGAGCACATAGGTGGATCTGCTGGATGATCTGTGCCCCACCTGGTCCTTCAGGTCTTCAACAGTGACTCATTGCCTTTTTCACCGAGTTCTTCCACTTGGCTGTGAGTCTCCTTCAATTTCCTTCCACTTTTCCCGACAATATTGACTTCTGTACAGAACAGAGTCTTCATCTTGACTGATTGTATGCTGTCATCAAGTGACCTAGAATTTAGCTGGTTGACATTATTTTCCATTAATTCCATTCATATTTGTTAAATCCATTCTCCTTGTTGTCCCTCAAGCTTGAATTAAAAGAAATTGAGTCCTACTGGGTGATAGGAAGCCTTTTTAAGTGCCTTTTAAAAATATCTAGACATTTAGAAACAGTTGTTGATTCACTTCTTACATATAAACTTAGTTACATGCTACAAACTTAATCTCCTGGTGCTTCTGATTTACCAGAACTGCGGTGTGAAAGAACATTCAAAGATGGTGTCTCCTTTTGACCAATCTGGCTTAATCCTTACTGTTGTCATTTTCTTTCCTCCTATATCCTAACCACCAGGTTACTGCTTGGGAGAGACTGAATCAGGTTCAAGAGGAGATTGCAAAACTCACTGCAGAAAAAAAGAGAGTGAGGACAGAAGTGTACAATTTTATGGTAAGAGCCCATGCTCATGATCACTCTGGAATAACCCCTGAATTTACTGTAGGAAAATACATTAATGAATGAATAAGGCCACTTCTCTTCAATAGCTTGTCTTGTTTTTGTCTGAATTATGATTGCTGGGGACTTTTCATTTAAAAAAAAAAGCTGGTAAGGATTGACTCATTGCTTCAGATAGTTTATCCCAAATTTTGGAATGTTAATTGGTTGCTTTTCGTAGTTGTAGAATAGACAAAAAAAGCTTTACATCCTTGGTTGATAGTTAATTATTCACAAGCATTACATTGGTTTGTTTTATGAGTAACAGTCCTCTGTTTTTTTCTTTGTAGCAAAACCATGATGAGAGTACTTTACAGACGGTAAGGAAATTTCTTTTACATGTATATATAACAGATATAGATAGATATAGATAGACAAATATAAATAGAGATAGATAGATAGATTAGATAGATAAATATAAATAGATATAGATAGATTAGATAGATAAATATAGAGATAGATAGATTAGATAGATAAATATAAAGATAGATAGATAGATAGATAGATAGATAGATCTTAATCATTTCAATCCAGGGTTTCAAATATAGAATTGGCATTTGCTTGATTTGGTTCTGGGTGGGTACAGATTAAAAAACTAGAAACACGGGGAGAAAATGCAGTGGTAAAAATGGAGAATATTTTCTGCTTCCGTGAATTCTTTGACATCTTTCCCCCTCTCCCCTCCAGCTGCCTGTTTACAATGCCTTGTTGAAAGAGGGGAGGGAAATCCGTTTTTGCCTTAATACCTTGCGCCAGGAGGAGGTTGAGTTGCAAGAAAAATACTATCTGCATGCCCTAAAGCTGCCCAACAGGGTTCACCCTGATGTGGTAAGGAGCATAAAATAGAGAAGCAAATGTTGGTATTTCTAGGGCTCTGGCAGGCATGGAACATCAGGTCCAATGAAACCAATTTATTGCTAAAAAGCTAACTCAGGTAGTCACTAAAACCATTTGTTTAGAGACCGCAGTTACAATGGCACAAAAAAAAGTGACTTAACAACCACATTTCACACTTTCACACCATTGCAGCATCTCCCTGGTCACATGACCCTAATTTAGCACCTGCTTGGAGTCAGAAAAGAGTCCACAGGATTCAACGGGGGGCGGGGGGTTGGACGTAGTACTTTGTGGCTATGTAAGGATTCTAGGCTGATTCCTCTTTTCACTCCGCCCCACTTCTTCTATAAGCTATGAATGAGGCAGCCCAAATTTCCTGAATCTTTACTATAAAATTGTTGTGGAGCCCTCTGGCTTTGCATTCACTTAGCTTAGGCCTAGTGTTTTTCATCTTGAGTTGGACAGAAATAATATTTGATACTGTGTCTTCGCCTCTTTTCTTCCCATAGCAATTTGGAGATGAGATTGAACCCAGGATAGTGGAGATCATTGGCGAAAAACCAGGTAAGGAAACCATAGCCTGAGCTACCATTGAGGTAGAATTCAGAAGCCACTGAAAAGATTCGGTGCCCATTTACAGCCAAAAATAATACTTACAGAGTCAACGCAACACTGTGGTGCTTTAAAATATAATGCCTGTCGCTTCTTTGCTTTGTTTTGGAAACAGAATTTGATTTCAGGGTAAAAGGACACCTGGAAATTGGAGAAAACCTGGATATTATAAGGCAAAGGTTAGTATGAAAAATTGCAACATTCCAAATTGTAGGATTCAAATTCATTTCCACTCCAGTCTATTCCAGCTAATCTGCTAAATAGACATATGTGAATAGGACAGGCGGAGTTGAAATTTCTTCTTAATCAGACTGAAATTTTGTTTATTTAATGGCCATTTAATAAAATAAGCAGAGAAGTGCAATATGGTAGGTCTGTTATGGACATCGTAGGAGAGACAGTTTGGAATGTGGTGGTAAAAAAACCCAAACCCAGGAATCTGGTAGCATTTGTGCCTAATATATTTGATTAAAAGGCAGAAGCTTTCACGAGCTGTAAGAATTTAAAAACCAAACTTAATAAAATTGGCTTTCATAAAGGGCTCTAACCAGAGTCCTTCTGATTTATGCCAATGTTTGGTGAGATCATTTACCACGAGCTCTGTACAGTCCGTGTTCACAGCCAGCTATGGTAGAACATAACTAATTTTAGTTGCAAAGGTATGACAATTTCCAATGCTTGGAACCTAAACAGACAAACAGGTGGCTTGATTTAAATTGATTTAAATGCTGTTGTTTCCCTGAAAATAAAGCCCTGTTTTGTAATTTTTTTGGCCACCAAAAAAAGGCACCAGGTCTTATTTTGGGGGGATGTCATCCACGGACTAACCTCGCTTGTGTGTGTCGCTCCTGGCCTCCTTTTCGCAGCCAGAGGCCTTCAGGAATTTCTCCTGCGACCAGCAAGGGTTTCCTAAAGGCCTCTACAGCCAATAACAGAGCTCTGGATCGATCCAGAGGTTTCTTATCAGGTACAGAGGCCTTCAGGAAAGCCTTGCTGGTTGCAGAAAAAATGGACCGGCAAGGCAGGTGTCGGGGTGTGCAAGGCCTGGCTACAACTATCCAAAGGTAAGTAGTAGGGCAGCTCCACCCCACCCTAGCTTAATTTTTACCCGTCCACTCTGGAGTGGGCAGGATCTTAATTAGGGCTTATTTTGGGGGGGGGGGCTTATTTTGGGCACACATGTAAAAATCAAGCTAGGACTTACTTTCAGGGTAGGTCATATTTTCGGGGAAACAGGATAGTACCCAGAAGAGAAGGGAAATCTGCAAATTAATTTGGCTGCACTCTTTGGAATCTCTTGAACACTTTTTTTTCCTACCTCTTCTCCTCCTTAGACGCTTAGCACATATTTCTGGTTTACGATCCTACTACCTTCGCGGGGCAGGTGCTCTGCTTGAGCGAGCCCTGGTCCAGTTCACTTTCTCCAAGCTGATCCAAAAGGTACGGAGTTCTCGAGCATCGTAAATCAGTGTTTTTTCAAAGTTGGAATGTCTAAGAACTGTGGTGGACTTCAGCTCCCAGAATTCCCCAGCCAGCCATGCTCTTGCGTTGGTTTGTACCCAAAGTTCATCGCAAAAAAATGTAGAGTGATCGGCTAACGCTCTGTAATGCTGATTTTCCTTCTCCTGTGCATTAAGAGCAAACTAAAAAAGGGGGATTTTTTTTTTTACAGGCATTGGGGCACGAGGCATTCCTGCAGACCTTAACAACCATTTCTTTTTCCTTCAGGGTTTTATTCCTATGACCGTCCCAGATATGGTTAAAGGAGCTGTTTTTGTGAGTATCCCTCCGTTTTGTTCCGTTGCATCCAGTCCTGGCTAATGAAGGTGTCTATGGAGCTGAATACGTTGCTTAGCTTCTGAGGGGTCCTTGATGCTCTTTCAGCTTGGTGGTTTTCTTGCAGACTTTTCGTAACCCAACTAGGTAACATCATCAGTGCTAGAAGGGAGTGGGGTTTGTGAGGAGGAGGACAGTGAGGTCCTTGGTGCTCTCTGAGCTTGGAAGTTTTCTTGCAGACGTCTCACAACCCAACTAGGTTAACATCATCGGTGTCTTCTGTTTATCAGGAAGGCTGTGGCATGTTACCTGAAGTCCACTCCTCCCTGGTATATAGGATAGACCCTTCCCGGTTTGAGGATCTGAACTTGGCAGGAACATCCGAGGTTGGCATTGCAGGTATGGTTGCAACAGGGAAGTCTTCCAACCTGTGGTCAAGGATAAATTTGGGGGGCCACATCAGTGCTTGAAGGGAGAGGGGTGTGTGGAGTGGAGGAGGAGAGGGAGGAGGAGGAGGAGGAATATGGGGTCCACGGTGCTCCCTGAGCTTGGTTGTTTCCTTGCAGACGTTTCATAACCCCAATAGGTGACATCATCAGTGCTAGAAGAGAGGGGAGTTTGCTGAGAGGAGGAGGAGGAGGAGGAGGGAGGGAGGACAATAAAGACTTTGGGTCTTGAGCTTGGTAGCTTCTTTGCAGACGTTTCATGACCTAACTAGGCAACATCATCCATGCTAGAAGGGAAGAGGTTTTGTGAAGAGGAGGAAGGGGTGAGGAAAAGGAAAACTCGGGGGTCCTTGGTGCCTTCTGAGCTTGGTGTTTTCCTTGCAGACGTTTCATGACCCAACTAGGGAACATCATCAGTGCTAGAAGGGCTTGCTCTCTGTTTATATGCAAGGGGCTTGCCCTGTCAGTGTGGATGCAAATGTTCTTGGTGATTAAGTAATTAATCATTAAACTTGGTAAGTAAGTAAGTAAGTAATTCCTCGATTAAGCTGTTTACCATTTGATTATTTGATTGCTCGTCTTCTGGCATGGATGGTGTTCCCTAGTTGGGTCATGAAACGTCTGCAAGAAAAACCACCAAGCTCAGAGAACACCAAAGATAGTTTGCCCCCAAGCTACAAATATTCTTTTTTTTATCAGTTCCATTTTTCCCCTTTCTTTCCATTTTTGCCTTCTCCAGGTTATTTTGCAGACCACGCTGTAGCTTTGAAGGATATGCCTGTCAGGTGAGTTCAGTGGTGGGATTCAACCGGCGTAACAACTGGTTCGCAGTGCGCTTGAAAATGTCAACTCATAAAATAGTTCTATAGTCTGTTTAGAGTTGCCAAAAGAAAGGGAGGGAGGGAAAGGAGCTGGAAAGAGCAGTGCAGCAGCTTGGAAACAGAAAGTGCATTCCATGCATAGTTCTTCAGAGATAGTAACTAGGTGACTGAAGTTTCTGCTGCCACAAACTTCTAACTGGAGAGCCTGATTGATGACTCTGGGCTATGGATGTGTCCCATTGGAGAATGTGAATTACGATATACCCAGGGGGTGGGGGGAAACCAGGGTCAAGGGTGACAATGAACGACGTGTCTCAGAGTCGGCTACACCCAGGCAGTGCTGGCATGTTAACTCCCCATAAATCCTTTTGAAGTTTTGGAAGTTTGGCTTGAGACTCAGGATTTAATTGGGGGTAACTGCCGGAATCCGGACAGCTAGCCGACAGCTTTAAAACTTACCTTCTACTGCAGCCCCCGTGAGTAAAACAACTGAGGCACAGCAATCCGCTCTGCCACACCTATCCGCTGGGTGTCAACCAAAAAATACTTCTTTGGTCTTTTTAGTTGCCAGCAGAAAGGGAGTGGGAGAAAAGCAGCGCATTCCTTAAATGCCTCAGCTAATCGCCCTGGCAGCTGAAGCTGATGGCACGCAAGATTGTTACTGGAGAGCCTGATTGAAGACTCTGGGCTATGGATGTGTCCCATTGGAGAATATACATCCAGGGGGTGGGGCGAAGACCAGGGTCAAGGGGGAAATGAATGATGTGTTTCAGAGTCTGCTGCAACCAGGAAACGACGACCTGTTAATTCCTAATAAATCAATTTTTTTTACTCTTGAAAGATGCGGCTAGAGACTTCTTGTCAGCTTTGGAAGCCATATTCCACGCTGCCACATAGCCTGAGAAAGTGGGAAGGGGGTGATTTCAATGGAGTAGTTCTAAGTAGACCAAATAAAATTCTTTTAGTAGTTCAAGGTTATTAAGTGTGGCGCAAGATGGAAAAAGGATCTTACACTGGGACGGATCGTGATCGGTCCATGTGATGTGATGCTGGGGGGAAAAGGGGATGGATTGTAGTTTGGGACATTGTGGAAAGCCCGAAAATTTTAGATTTGGGATTCCACAGATGTGCCAGGTGCTATTCCAATAAAGGTACGTTTGTACTTATGCTTGTCTCGGAGTTACTGATGGGAATGGAGGTTTGCTCTAATGCTGACATGATATGAATGGGGGTGGATCTGTTGGAGCCTTGACACTGGGCTTCAAACGAAGGAAATATAGGACAGACTAGCTCAGGGCGGGCGGGAGGGCGGGCAGGACCAACTGATCACTGGAACTGGCTGAATCCCACCCCTGAGTAAATTGTTTTCTACTTGCTGTGCATTCACACCTTCGGAATTGCCCTTCCAGATGGCTAGATTTCCCGGGGTGTTTTTTTTTTGTTTTAACTTCCAACAGATTTTTGTGGGGCGGCTGGGTGGGAAGGCCCAATCTGCACCACAAAGCGTGATTAATCATCCTTTTTTTATAACTTGGCCAGGATAGCGTGTTCCAGCACCTGCTACCGAGCCGAAACCGAGACCGGCAAAGAGCCGTGGGGTCTCTATCGGGTGCACCAGTTCACCAAGGTGAGGGCCGCTCCCCTTCCAGGGCCAAGTCTGCCGGTGGAGAGAAACAAAAGATAACAAGCACACCTGTGGTTGCGCAGCTGCCACAAACCAAGACACCTTGGCTGGATGCGGACTGGCATAGTTCTAGCGGCCGGCTGTCGGCGTCTGTTCGGCTGGGCCTGGAGAAAAATCCAAATGACGGTGGCAGGGAGGGAGGCTCAGGGTTGAGCAAAAGAAATGCAGGCAGTCCTTGACTTACAACAGTTTGTTTAGTGTCCATTCAAAGTTCCAACGGGACCTTCCGACAAGCCCAATCAATGGGAAAGCCGGGTTCACTTAACAATCGTGACACTAAGTGAGCAACTGCAGTGACTCAATAAGGAAGGCAGGAAAGGGCTAAAATGGGGCAGCTGAGCGGTCTCACTTAGCAACAGAAGTGTTGGGCTGAATTGTGGTCGTAAGTCACGGAGGCAGTCCTCGACTTAACGACCACAATAACGGGATAATAACAGTAACATAATAGTGATACATTGATGGAGGATTGTGTTACCTGGAACGAAACACGTGCCAAATAAGACACAGCCAAACTTCACCTTGGTTGGAGCGTTCAGTTTTGGCTGCCATATTGGGTCTGTTTCAGATAATTAATTTTTTTTTTCCTCTCCAAAAACGGAGCGGTACTTGAAAAGTTAGATCAGGGTTTTTCAAACTGGACAACTTTTAAGATGTGTGGACTTCAACTCCCAGAATTCCTCAGACAGGATGCTGCCTGGTGAATTCTGGGAGTTGGAGTCCACACATCTTAAAGCAAGGGTCTTCCAACTTGGCAAGTTGAAGGCTGTGGACTTCAGCTCCCAGAATTCCTGGGCTAACATGACGAGCAGGAATTCTGGGAGTTGAAGTCCACAAGTCTTAACAGTTGCCAAATTTGAAGATCCCTGTCTTAAAGCATGCTGTCTTGGGAATTCTGGGAATTGGAGTCCATCCATCTTAAAGCATGCTGCCTGGGGAATTCTGGGAGTTGTGGTCCATCCATCTTAAAGCACGTTGTCTCGGGAATTCTGGGAGCTGGAGTCCACCTCTCTTAAAGCATGCTGGTTTGGGAATTCTGGGAGTTGAAATCCACCCATCTTAAAATTGGCAAGCTTTGAAAACATCAAGTGAGGTCACCCTCTTCTCCTTCCTGCCTTCACCCAGGTGGAAATGTTTGGCGTCACCGCCAATGAGACGGGTCTCGAAAGCAGCGCCTTGATGGAGGAATTCCTCGCCCTGCAGAAAGAGATTCTCCTGGAGCTGGGATTGCACTTCAAGTGAGGAGAGAGGCTGGGCGTGGTAGCAGTTGCAGGATCTGTCCCAGCCCCTTCTGGGGTTGAGAAACACCGATAACGACAGAAACATCCACACAGCGAAGTAGCCAGGGGTAGTCCTCGAATTACAACCATTTGTTTCGTGACCGTTCAAAGTGACAACGGCCTTGAAAAAAAAGGGGGCTTACGACCATTTTTCACACTTACGACCTTCGCCACCTCCCCAGGGGTCACAGGGTTAAAAATCGGGCTGCTTGGCAGCCGGCTCATATTTACAACGGTCTTGGGGGGGGGGGGGCTACGGGATCCCCTTGGCCAGCCAAGCCAACGGGCGGGGATCAGATTCATTTCCACAGTTGGGTTACTAACCCAACAAGTGCAGTGTGTCAACTCATCAAATATTTCTGTGGTCTTTTTAGAGTTGCCCACAGAAAGAGAGGGGGGAGCAGTGAGGCAGCTTGCAAACCGAAACTGCATTCCATAAATGTTTTCAAAGATAGTAACCAGGTGACCGAAGTTTCTGCCATGCAAAATTCTAACTGGAGAGCATGATCGATGACTCTTGGCTATGGATGTGTCCCATTGGAGAATATGAACTATGATACACCCAGAGGGGTGGGGGAAAACCAGGGTCAAGGGTGACAATGAGTGAGGTGTCTCAGAGTCGGCTGCACCCAGGCAATGCCGCATCTTCTAACTCCCAATAAAACTTTTTTTGGAGTTTGGCTAAAGACTCACAATTTAAATGGGGTTAAGTGTCGGAATCTTGACACAGTGTTTCACTTAACAAGGGTGGCAAGAAAGGTCGTGAAACGGTCGTAAAACTCACGAGAGTTGTCCTCTGTTTAGCGGCCTAAACCTTGGGCTCAATTTTTTGGGTTGTAAGTCGAGGACTGCCTGTGTCCGGTTAGAGGAGTTCACCAGCAACCCCGCCTCCCCCTCCGAGGAGCCAAATGAGTCAAGATGGGGTGGGGCGGTCTCAGCCCCCTGCTTTGCCTCCCCCAAACAGGCTTCAGGATTTCGCTGTCCTTTTGTGGCTGCTGGTGTTCTGCCCAAGGCTTCCCAAGTCCAAACAACTCTTGTTTTTCAACGCTGGGAATTATGTTCATTCCCAGCTGGTAATAAGTCCCAAACAGTCCTCAAGATGAGCACCCACCTTTCTCTCCTTTGAATGGCTGCCAACAACTAAAGTGCCGAATGAATTGTAAAAAGCCAAACGAAGTACAAAGTCCACACAGAGCTTCAAGGTTTAATCCGAACAGAGCAAACAACTTTGCTTCCTGCAAAGGTTTCTCTACCTTTGCACCTCCTTTATACCTTAGGGGAGGGGCAATCACTTCCCAGCCTTACTCCCAAGTTGCCCCTTTTGTTTCAGCTTCTCTTGCCTTCTAGCAGCTCTGTGCACACGTGCACTGGGAACAGGCTCCCGCTGTTCCTCTGCCTTGCTGCTGTCAGATTCTGGAGGCTCCGGAGTCAGCATGTAACTCCCAGATGGTCCTGTCTCCTTCTCTGCCTTGGATGCAGGACCCTCATCCGAGTCCTCTCCAGAGTCCCGGGGTGGTCCCCGTTCCTCCCCACTGTCCGATTCTGCTGCTGTCTGCACAGGCTGCCGGCGAACCACAACAGCTGGGCTTCCTTCTGACCAGCCCCTCTCTTTTGATGACAGAGTTCTGGATATGCCCCCGCAAGAATTGGGCCTGTCTGCCTTCAGGAAATTTGACATTGAGGCCTGGATGCCCGGCCGGAACCAGTATGGAGAGGTGAGAGGAGGGGTATCTCAAGACCTGGGCTTTTGGGGAGGGGTCGCACTAAGGGTTGGTGGTGGAAAGATTTCATTGACCTACCTGCGGATGCGTCCCTGGTTTGGGGATGTCCAGGTTGGAATTGTTGCTGGTGCTCAGGTATTCACAACTTGCGAATCTTCTCCGGGGAACTCACCTGTCTTGCTCCAAGTGAAGAATTCACCTGTTGGATTAAATCAAAGCCCATTTTTTAATAGAAGCAATGAACGAGCAGGAAGGGATCTTGGAGGTCTTCCAATCCAGAGAACCTATTGTCAACTTGTAAAACATTCCTACACTTGTTTCCAAGTTGCCATAAGAAAGAGGGGGAGGGGAGACTGGAGAAGCATACGGCAAATGAACTTAGAAGCACGTTCCAACCTTATTGTCAACTAAAAAATTACTCCTTTGGTCTTTTTAGTTGCCAGCGGAAAGAGAGTGAGGGAAAGCAGTGCATTCCTTAAATGCCTCAGATAATAGCCCTGGCAGCCGAAGCTGTTGGCGCGCAAGATTATTACTGGAGAGCATGATTGGTGACTCTTGGCTATGGAGGTGTCCCATGGGAGAATATACATCCAGGGGGTGGGGGGAAAGAACAAGGTCAAGGGGGAAATGAATGATGTATTTTAGCGTCGGCTGCACCCAACTAAACGCCAACATGGTCACTCCTAATCTTTTTTTTTTTACTCAGAGAGTAAAAAAGCAGCTAGAGACTTATGATTTGAATGGGGAGTAGCTTTGTTTGAACCCTGACACTTCTCTTAAAAAAGATTGTAGCTAAGCTACTGAATCTGTTGCCCGCGAAAAACTTTAATTGGAGAATGTGACGGATGACACCGAGCCCGTGTAGGAGCTTAATTGGGGGGGGGGGGGAAGCAGGGTCACAGGAGACTGTAACAGGTCGTGCCAGCATGTCGCTTCTAATGAATTCTTTTGAAGTTTTTTGAAGTTTGGCTCAAGGCTCATGATTTAATGAGGGCGATCGCTGGAATCCTGACACCTGTACTATTTCAGATAAAGTGACTGTCTTCTAGGCTCTTCTTAAAAACCTCTAGTGATGGAGCAGCCACGATTTCTGGTGGCCAGCTGTTCCACTGGTTAATTGTCCTCTCTGTTTGGAAGTTTCTCCTTCGTTCCAGGTTGATTCACTCCTTGATTAGTTTCCACCCATTGTTTCTTGTCTTGCTTTCGGGTGCTTTGGAGAATAATTTGACCCCCTCTTCTTTGGGGCAGCCCCTCATTTTGGACCAAACTTTTTTGGTTTCTCCATTTTGGTTTCTTCACTTTGGTTACAAATGAGGGAGGTATTACCCTCTCTCCCCTCCAGCTCCAACTGAGAATAACGGATTGGAAGGGACCTTGTAGGTCATCTAGCCCAGGGGTCACCAACCTTTTGGAGCTCAGGGACCACCAAACTCATAATTTTAAATCCCGCGGACCAGAGACCCTGGGAAAATCCCCAAAAAGAGTCTGCAGGAAAACTCCTCACCCCATTCTCCTACCCGATCGATCATTCTTTTTTGGGATCGCAGGATACCGTCTCCAGCTCCGTTCTCAGGGGAGAGAGAGACTTTTGGCTCCACGCAAGGAAAGCAGCAGAAGCAGCAGAAGTCTTTCTTTCTCTCCCCCAAATTCCGCCAGAAATGAGTCTTTGCCGGCGCAGCCTCTTGGAGGAGGAGGAGGCCTTGCAGGGTCCCAAAGACTCATTTCTGGCAGAGTTTTGGGGGAGAGAAAGAAAGACTTTGGCTGCTTTCCTTGCGTGCAACCAAAAGCAGAAGAAGAAAGAAGCGGAAAGAAGCAGTCCGGTGGCCAGGCCAGGCGCGTGGGGCGAGTGGGGCAAGTTCTCCCCCTCCGTCCTTTCCCCCCCTCCCCTCACTACCCCGTGTTGTTCGCAGTGCAAACGACGCAAGCCTTGTGTTCCTGTGGCCCGTGTGAGTGGTGCAGCCTTGTGTTCCCGCGCAGCCTGGATTAATTGTTTGGGAGGTGACATTTCTCTGTGGACCACCAAAATTTTCTCATGGACCACCAGTGCTCCCCGGCCCACTGGTTGGCGACCACTGATCTCGTCTAACCACCACCACTGTGCTCGAGCAAGAAACCACTTCAGACCAATGGCTGTCCAGTCTCTTCTTAAAAACCTCCAGCGTTGGAAGCACCTACAACTTCAGGCTATATGCCAAAGAAACAGCCCTTCATTTTTTATTATCCCACCCCTAGAAACGAGCGGTAAATTCCCTCCTAAACACTTCTGGGCTATACAGTATACATCCCGCTGTTCTTATTCCTGGACCACACCGGTACAACTTCATGGCTGCATTAGAGTGTTTCTTTTTTATTACTTCTTTATTTATTTACTCAATTTATATGCTGGCCATCTCCCCATCGAGCGACCTGGGGTGCTTTCTAACCTCATAAAAGAGAAATGGAAAACATTGAGAACGTTTAAAAAAAAAAAAAAGCATTAGAAAAAAAGTAGACGAGAAAGAAAGCGAGACATAAATAATAAGAATGTTTACGATGGCTGATATATCCTTATTCCAAGAAAAGAATTGTAATTCTGTCTAAATCAGATGGAAGGATGGAATGGTTTCTTTTCCGTGCGCCCGTCGTGTTCCTGGCTCTCATCCTGTTTTCTTTCCTCCCTCCCTCTTTCCCTCTCCAGATCTCCAGCCTCTCAAATTGCACCGATTTCCAGTCGCGGAGGTTGAACATCATGTACTACGACGAGAAGCAGCAGCTCAGCTTTGCACATACCGTAAGCTCAGTCTGGAAAGACCCTTGTGGGGGGGGGGAGGAATGTCTCGAGAATAAAAAGGGTGGGGGGTCTGCACAGAGAGAAAGCCCCCTCCCGATGCCTTTTCTCCCTCTGGGCCATCTTGGGGCTGGGGGCTCCGTGCGCATGGCCTCCACCCATTCACGACCCCTTTTGTGAACCTTTCGCAGGTGAACGGAACTGCTTGTGCAGTTCCACGGATGCTCATTGCCATTCTGGAATCCAATCAGCTCAAGGTTTGTGGAGGGTTTTTTTTTGCTTTGCATAGTATATTGCCCAAGCTGGAACCTTCCGGATGCATTGGGACTACGACTCCCAGAATTCCCAGCCAGCAAGGGAGGATAGATGCTTGGGGAAAACCTAGGGAGTTTCGTCCCTGTGAAAAGAGGACATTAGCGCGCGCTGTCAAGGCTCTGGCAGTTACCCCTATTTAAATTATCAGTCTCTAGCCAACTTCCAGAACTTAAAAAGAAGATTTATTAGGAGTAAATATGCCGGCGCTGCCTGGGTGTAGCCGACTCTGGGACGCATCATTCATGATCATCCTTGACCCTGGTTTTCCCCCCACACCCCCTGGGTGTATATCATAATTTGTATTCTCCAATGGGACACATCCATAGCCCAGAGTCATCAATCAGGCTCTCCAGTTAGAATGTCAGGGCTCCAACAAATCCACCCCCATTCAAATCATAAGTCTCTAGCCGCATCTTTCGGAGCAAAAAAAAAAAACACCGATTTATTAGGAGTGACCATGTCGGCGAATAGAAAATAGAATCGAATAGAAAATAATAGAATAGAAAATAGAGTAGAATAGGAAATAGAATACAATAGAGTAGAATAGAAATACAATAATGAAATGGAATAGAATAGTATAGAATAGAAAATAGAATAGAATAGAACAAGGAAAGAATGGAATGGAATAGAATTAGAATTAGAATAGAGCTGGAAGGGTCCTTGGAGGTCTTCTAGTCCCACCCTCTAGTCCCACCCATTTCAGATAGGTGGCTATCCAGTCTCTTCTTTAAAAAAAACCTCGTGATGTAGCATCCACTATTTCTAGTGGCAAGCTGTTCCACTGGTTAATTGTCTCCCTGTTAGGAAGTTTCTCCTTAATTCCAGGTTGCTTCTCTTATTTGTTTAGTTTCCAACCATTGTTTCTTGTCCTGCCCTCCGCTGCTTTGGAGAATAACTTGAATCATTTGATTCCCTTCTTCTTTTGACCCCACTTCTCTCCTTTGCCCAGGATGGCAGCGTTCGAATCCCGACAGTCCTGCAGCCCCTGATGGGCGCTGAGGTCATCCACAAACCCAGCCACGCCCTGTTAAAATACATCGGTCCCAACCAGGCCAAGAAAGGGAAGAAACCAGTCGCGGAGAAGCCCTGGAAAACTTAGAAAGGAGCAAGGTACCCTCCGTTAGGGGCTGGAATACCGCCGTGAAACGGGGCAGCCCCTCCTGAACAGCCAACGTACCACTTCTATCTCGGACCGGCAGCTGGAGAGGGCTCCAATGTGGCGCGTGGCATTGACTTCCCCTGCAGAAGTCACAAATGGAGAAAGAAGTTTACTTGCACGTATATATTTCGGGGTGGTGCCTTTCAGGGTGCCATCAGGCTGTAGAGGTGATCCCTTTTCCTCCTGTCTGGCATCTTCCAGAGATGATCCACCAACCCAACCAGCAGGGCCTCTTTCCAATCGAGCTGTCTCTTCAAGGAGTCGTCTTTCCTACCCAAGAGGGGCTTCGGTACCCTTTGGCCAGGTCTCCCCCTGAAGCATTTTCGAGACTGGGGGGGTCCCTGCTTGGTTATTTCAGGCTCTAGTTTCTTCCTCTGGAATCCTGCACCCTTCTAATGTTCAGTCCTTCATTCTTTCCATTGTCAGGATTCCAGCAATCGCCCTAATTAAGTCATGATCCTCGAGCCAAACTTCAAAAAATCTGCAAAGGATTTATTGGAGGCGACATACTGGCACTGCCCTGTGTGAAGCCAACTCTGGGGTTTTTTTCTCCTTCCACTTCTGGGCAAATACCATTCTTGCCGCAGTGATGACATGTATGATCAAATACAACTCTCCCTTATGATGTTTTTTTTTTAATATAATTCCCAATTAAAAAACATTCTGGTCTGTGATCTATTTTAAATCCCATCATTTCTTCCAGTCCCTTCCCAATCCTGTGCCAACATTCTTGTGCTTTTTTACAGCTCCACCATGCATGATAGTATGCGCCCCTGTTCCATTAAGCATTTCCAACATTTTGGGAATTGAGCATAAAACACAATCTTAATCCTGGCAAAAACCTCTTTTAGTTCCA